GAAGTTAGACTTGTCAAAAATCCGCGCCGTGGGTACAATTAGACTAAAAACAAAACTACTACTAGGATAGCATACAAACCAATCACCTAAAACACGCCGCGCCCAAGGGCCGGCGGATTTTTAAGTGTTGAATCGCGTAATTACATTGGAGAAGAATTCTTCTGTGCACTTCCCAGTAGAATTGACGCTTCAACAGTCAATTCAAGTTACCAGCAACTATCGAGGTTTTGGAAGCTTTGAGAGTTATTTCATTTTCTCCTTTTCAGACCAAGTCTTTTAAACTCATTCCTCATGTAGCAATGTAGCGTGGACAACAGCATCCACCGACTGTTCATTTTATACGTAGACATGACGCGCTGGTCATCCGTCTTCTAACAACACGAATAATTAGATACCGAACGTTATTTATTACCCCCTAGCCCATGCCTACCCAACCCCACCCCGTACAGACCATCGCGCACTGATTCTTCTTTTAACGTGCATCAACTACACTTTCCTCATGCATCGTAGACAGCGACGTCTTCCAGTTACGTAGACATGACGTGAAGATCAACCGTTTACTAACAACAGAAGACATCAGACACCCAGCGTATGAGCCTTCCAATTACGTCGCTGAAATTGTTGTGAAGCCGATAACAATGTCCAAAAAAGGCACAAAACACTACGGCCCCTACACTAATTACTCACTACTCAGTGGGTAGTAGCTCCCGCAAGTGAGCTGGCTAGCAACTCAGGCCCACTCTTACCCACAGTTGGCAAGGGATCTGACATGCATCAAAGTTTGGTGCCATGAATCTCTAACATTCTTGCTACAGGTTCTCCATTTTTGTTTCCTTTCTTCTCTCAGTGGCAAATGGCTGGTTTATGCTGGTAATTCGTGTCCCCGCAGGAATATGGCATGCCAAGAGGTGTGACTGGATTGGGCCGTGGCTTTCGAGACCGCTGGACCCGAGCCGAACGAGTCAATGAGCCTTGGCAGGAAGACACACCGAGCATGCATTCGACGGTCGGTTTTTGTGGTCATTAAGTCCAGAGCCTTGGGAATGTTCGGCGTTTTCCGCCACAGAGCGAAGATGTAGTACTGTATTTGTTGTTTCTTTTCAAGTTATATAAAGCACTTCTAGCACTTCCAAGCACTTCTTGTATCTACGATACCGTACTTTTTGTGTAATCACTTCTTGTTCTTACTGAGGCTGACTGGCTTTTGAGTCATCGAGCACGCACCTTCAATGGCAGCCGCTGCCCGAGTTTTAGATGGTCTTCAATCGTCATCCGCAGGTTTCAGCACTTGGCTGTCAGGTTTGCAAGGCGATCGCTGTGGAAGTTCGCCGATACAGACACCTGCAGGGACCTTCATTGCCACTCAGCCAGCCCAGAAGTGTCCCAATTTTTTAGATGCTTAAGTGGCTGCACTGCGTTGCTCCCTTGCAGAACATGCTAAGCAGACCTGCTTCCAAAACATCCACCTTGGCAATAGAGGCAACTCCAACTTGGAGTGAATCGGGTGATGTGCGCAAGCCTTAGAAGCGCCGTTGAACGTGAAACCTGTCCAGAGGTTATTTTGCATTTTTACTGCTTACTTGTAAGCCTCAGGTCTTGGACCAAGAACACGCAGGTTTTAGTTGTAAGTTGTAGTGGCATCCGAGATTTGAATAAAGAGATGAAAGTAAGCGGCTTAAAGAGATTAGGAACATATAGTTTTTTCTACTATGTCATTTCATTTGAAACATTCATGGAGTACACATGAGTACACTGTTTGTCTATTGTGTCTACAGATGCCATATGTCTATGTTTAGTATTTTGATTAGTCGTGGGCGATTCGGGGGTGTTGAGGTTTGTACCGCGTCGAGATGATCCTTGCAGCCCCCTCTATGTCCAGGCTGGATTCATTGAGCCATGGAATCCATAGAGCATTCTTCGATGGAAAGGTGATACCAAACCTAAATCAGATCAATTCCGTGAAATAAAACATGACACTTATGCAACTCAGAAAATCCTTCAATCAGGCAACACCTCAACGTTGGGCAAGCGAGCACTGCCAGGAGGGGGAAGTCCGCCTTGAAACAATCTTTGCTGCATTTGTTCAGTTGCCCTATTAATACCAAATTGATGGAACCGTTGCATAATTGTTTGCACTCGGAGGTGCTTCAAGAATCTAAAACAAGTTGTTGAGAGTAGTCAGACCTACTGGCTTAGCAGAGAAGTTTGTTCATGTTGAGGATCCTTGTCAAAGGGTTTGCACGTGAGCACATGTCCCCATTTCCTTCCATGAGATTGATTGCTTTTGTCAAGGAAATGTCGCAGCCATCCGCTCCGCTTCAAAGTGCACACATGTACCATCCAGGCAACATGTCAAGACAGGAAAGCATATGCTTTTTGAAACTGCACATGTGGTTGCTGTCTTTCAATCGCATCGAGGCTTTGGGCTCCTTGGGCCGGCTGGAGCCCAAAATTGGGAGCACAGGCCACCATCAAGATATCTGACACATGCTTGTTCCAGAATTGATCCACTAGTTTTTGACAGTTCTACTTCTTCTCTCGTTCCTGGCATGGACAGCATTGCAGCTAAGGACCAAGCTGCTTTTCTTGGCACGTTCGGCGGCAACAAATTCGAGATACACAAAACCGCATAGACTTTTGAATCGAACTGTCATGTTTCACCCTAGAATTGTGATTTAAGCACAAGAGTGCAAAAGCCGCCCATTGAAACATACAATATTATAATATATAAACAAATAAAATATATGAATTAAATGATTCCTTTTTGATGGGACGCAAATATTTATATTTATATTTAGTTATTTTTATATCGATATTTGATATATATTTATATTCTTAAATCACGAAAGCTAGCGAAGCTAGCTGGAGTTAC